TGATGAATGCATATATGACTAAGAATTTCACATTTATCTGTAGACATTCTTCGATCAGACGATGCCGATTGTGCGGTATCAAAGACGATAAGATCCAACGACCAGAATTCCACGTACTACTTAGAACTTGCATTGACTGCTGAACAGGCAATTGCTGACAAATATGGCAATGATACATCTGATGTCCTACTAATAATCGCTAATATAGTAAGATAATAAAAATGTCTTTCTTGCTTATCAATATTATAGTTGGATGCAATATGCCTAACATAATAACGGTCATTCCCTAATCAGACGCGGTCGAAATGCACCATGGGAATGATGAAAATACAAACTCAGTCATGTTGTTGTTTTTAGTTCGCGTTTAAAGTGTCTCGGGCTGCTTTTCTCATCCAAATTATTCTCGACTTCTAATATCGTAAATTGGCAAAGGAACTTCATCCACCGTAGCAAGAGAATTGACCGTAGTTGACATCCGCCATCTTGTTACTTTCATCAATACCATGATGCATTTCGCCAAAGAACATATGCCGTCATTAGGCTATATAACCATTAGTCAAAAGGAGATTAGAATAAGCGCGAAAATAGAAGACTACAAAAGAATTATTACCTACTATTAAATGTCAATCTATTCAACAGGCTGCAAAGGCCTATCAAGAACCATCCATTGGTAAAAACAAGATCAAGTTGGTCGTCACAAGATTGATTATAATTCCAAATGACCAGGTTATTGTTCTCAATATTGTATTTATTGTGAAGCTTATATTCAAATTTGGACCAACCACGTAATGCACAAAAGAACTGAGGATTATGCTATGATCCAAAAAACAAATATATAGTCGCCCGAGAACGCGATGATGAAGTTATGAGGAATATCTAGTTTTTTATTATTCAACATAAAATGTTTGAAAGGGGAGAGCTCTATTCAATAATAGAAGCACTCCGCGGCGGGCAATAGCGTGTCACATGGTTAACTCTCGACCAATGAGAGCGGAGGAAAATTTGTTGTTGAATTACAAAGCATTATATTCAAAAGTCTATATCCCACATAATCTAGAGCCTCATTTCCCTTATTTTTCATAGCTGAATAATTCAGGACAAGGATTATATGATATGTCCAAGGCCATTGGTAGATGGGCTCGTCGTGATAACCCTGTTTCGGACAGGGATCCCAAGCATTATGACGTTATTGCTCTTATGAGGTACGGGCATATTGAAAACTTCTGAATCCATGATTCTTCAGTTTTCTGACACGTGTAATTGCTTTTTGTCAACAGGAAGACTCGAGGTGGAGGTAAATTCACTAAATATGTTGAGTATGATGTTATAATAAGCTTAATTCGCTTTAAAAAAATACCATTTATAAGAGCTTATAACCGAACTAAAAATGTCCTTGATACGGTACATTGTTTGTGGCTTCTATTCTGCAGGTCTTGCGTCGTTTAACAATATTTGCAGTAGAATTGTAACCTCTGTGTTTAGTGACAACGGGATCGGATCATGGACCACGCTTGCACACGAAATTGGACATAAGTGAGTCACTGGCACAACGTTCATAGCTCATTATAGATACTAAGGGCGGATTCAGGGGAGGAAAAAAGGGGGGAATCACCCCTATCTTTCTCACTTACAGTCCGTTGCTCTAAGATTCTTCTTGTAATGCTAAAAGAATTTTCCTCTTTCTAAATTCTTCAAAGACGATAATGAAAAAATTCAAATAAAT